AGAGAAATTCGTTGTGTCATTCAGTCACTTCCGCTGGCGCGCCGTCTTTCTTATTCAGGTGTACGGTATTTGTATGCAGTATGTGAGTGTTATATTTGGACCTAGTGTGAGAACGCTTCAACGTTGGTATGTACTGTTCTTGTCTGATGGAGTCGTAGAGGACAATGGCAAAACTACGCGCTCGTCACAGTGGCCTTGTAGCGTAGTGGAGCGTGTACTCAAGTATGTTAAGGAGCACTCAATATTTGTTTTAGAGGAGCTACAAGAGTTTATGAAATGCACTTTCCAGAGAAAAAAATACCTCGTTGAGCACAATTTATAGAGCTCTACATTTTGATATGAACCTGTCTAGGAAAGTACTAACAAAGGCGGGGAGAGAGTAATCTAGAGGCTATTTATTCGTACCCGGACCAACTACTTTTCATTGACGAAACGAAAAAAGATGGAAGACAAGCGTATCGACGGTATACCTGGTCGAAAAAGAACACGCTATGTGTAGTGGGCCACGCCATTACATAAGTAGGTAGATTTATATTACAAAAGTAGGTGCAGCAGCACACGGCTAGCGTGTGCTGAACTGCCGTCATCCTATTGGTTGATATATGGGGAGCCAGACCAATTATCAGCCAATAAGGGGTTGACGTGTATTTGAGTGATCAGGGCAAGCTGCCCTGGACCGAAATAAAAACAGAGTTGATTTTCCTTCAGACTAAGCACTTGGTTTCACTATCGCGGAACTTGCACGCTTCCTCATTATTACGTGTAAGCTAGTAACGGACACTCTAGGCCCGTTACACCTGGTAGCACTTAGTAGTCCTTCCCATGACCAAGCTCACAATGAGCCAAGGCCAGACGTCGGAAGCTTCAGGGTCAACCCTGGAGCATGCTGATTTCCCTCATCTCACTCGTGTCGAGTGGGAAGCCTTTCACCGCCTTGCGGCGGTGTCCGGTGAGGCTGTTGTCGCGTCGCTGCTAAGCTCAGCGACTCCCGATCAACAACGTCAAGCAGCTCAAGAGTTCATGGAACGCGAGCTCGCCGATTCGCGAATCGGCGAGCGACAACTCCCTCGCGTTCCTCGAAGAATGACATCGTCAAGTTGGAGACGTCAACATACTCCGGTGAAGGAGCGAATCGCCTTCCGTTGAATCGCTGGTTTCGCGAAATCGACATCGCTATCGCCTCGAGGATGATCGAGGCGCAAGGAGCGAAAGTTAACTTCTTACTTTCCCGACTGGCCGGGAAAGCCAAGGAGTGGGCACTCGGCAAACTGGTCGTCAACAACGATGCGTTCTCCACCCTGGAGGCCCTCCAGAGTGATCTTCGTCTCGCCTTCGAGCCTCCACAAGACGAGTCCCGAGTGCGCGCAGAGCTCTTCGCTCTGCGACAAGGCAAGATGACCATGCGCGACTACATCCAGAAGACACGCCACCTCGCATCCTGCATCGTCACCAATCCGATTGACATGGCATCTCAAGTCCACGTCTTTGTGTTCGGCATGCGTGAAGGCATAACGCGATACTGTCTGACTCGAGCGGAACCCTCCTCTCTCGAGGAGGCATTTGCTCTCGCACTTCGTGAAGACTACGTTGTGGCGGCGTCGTATGCGCGGGCGTTACCCGCGGAAACTCAAGAGTCAGCTCCGGAGCCGATGGAGATCGACGCGATTGACGCGTCGAGCAACCGCCGTCGTGCAGCCCCTCGTGCGAACGGTGGTCGTCCCAGTCGATCCCTCACTTGCTTCCGCTGTCGGAAGGTTGGACATCGCGCGGCTGAGTGCCGCGTACCCGCGCCAGTACTCGCGCATACTGTCGATGCCTCTCCTACCGATCACCCAAAAAACGGCCAAGGCCAGTAGGTGCGGGGCGCCCTACTGGCTGGAATGGAGATCCGGGTCTCCCGGTGGCAACCCAACCTTCTAGCCCTCGCGTGCTACACGCACACTTCAATGCTACCACAGCGTCGGGCGACTCAAGACTGATCATCATCAGCCTCCATGTCGCCGGCGCCCGACGTCCACTACGCGCGCTTGTGGACTCAGGAGCGACAAACAACTTCTTCCGTGAGTCGTGTCTGTCGACGCTACCCAGCGAAATCGCTGTCCGCAACGGTCGCGGACAGGTTGTAGTCAAGCTTGCTGACGGAAAGCCGCGCCACGTCGCGCGGCGCGAGATCACGTTGCCGTACACGCTCGACGGCTTTCGCAGCAATGACGACTTCCTCGTGATTGAGATGAACTACGCATTTGATTGTATCCTGGGCATCCCGTGGTTGTCACGGTATCAACCAGAGATTGACTGGTTGGCCGCTCGGTTAAACACCGCAGCGGTTTCGACATGAGCGAGGTGTTCGCCCACCTCCTGGTTGCCCAGAAGGACTGGCCCCACGTCACCGTCGTGGACCGGTCGTCCACGACGCAGGCTGTACACAGAGTGAGCGATGGCCCTCTCTGCACGGCTTGTGCAGTGCTGTTGCACGAAGGCTCCTCGCCGCGAGGCGAGGACAAGAACACGATGGCGGTCGAGCAGGGGCTCCCGCAATACGAGCAAGCGGTCGAGCATGGGTTCCCGCAGCGCACAACTGCGGTCGAGTATGGGTTCCCGCGGCGCACCACAGCGGTCGAGCATGAGTTCCCGCAGCACAATATGGCGGTCGAGCATGGGTTCCCGCAGCGCAACACAGCGGTCGAGCATGGGTTCCCGCAATGCAACACGGCGGTCGAGCAGTCGAGGCTCCCGTCACCCGAGCCGGTGGTCGAGCAGTTGGAGCTCCCGCCGAACGACCACGCGGTCAAGCAGTGGCCCCCGCGTGTGACCGGCACAGTCGAGAGTGAGCTTCAGTGCCTAGAGCGGGGTGATACATCGTCCAGCGAGAGCGATTCTTCCTCCTCGAGTACACACTCGAGGCGCCGGGCAAAAAAGTCGAAGCGCCGTCATTTGAAGCCACGACGTGAAACTGCACCGAACGGCATCTCACAGACGGAGATGGTCTGTGTCATTAAGCACGTGGACGACGGCATGGGCCGTCAGCGCACCGTCGATCTTGTGTGTCCACCTCGCGACGCTCAATCGATCACCCGGCTTCCAGGTCTCTCCTGGAAGAACTTTCTTCGTGGTCTCAAGGTTGGTGAGGTTGAGCAGGTCTGCCTGATCACAGACACTTCGTCTACGCCACTCGAAGCGAACACCGTCAGTGATGACGACGGATCCACCCGTCCCAAGAGCGCCGAACCGAAGTCCGCTCGCGAGGAGCGATTCGCAGCGCAGTCCTGGGAGTCCTTGCGCGAGTCTGGTAATCCAGTGTACGAGACCGTCCGCGAATACGCGGACGTCTTTCCCGATAAGATTCCAGCCGAACTGCCTGCCGATCGATGCGTCCGCCACGAGATCGATCTCGCGCCCGGTTCGAAGTACTGTGTGACGCGGCAGTGGCCGCTGCCGCGAGACCAAGTCAAGGCCATCGACGACTTCTTCGAGAATCGCCGTAAAGCGGGTCACGTGCGTGAGAGTGTCTCTCCACATTCGAGCCCAACGTTCTGTGTGAAGAAGGCCACAAGTGGATGGCGCATCGCTCATGCCTTTAACAAGTTGAATTATGCGACCATCCCCGCGCAAACCCCGATTCGGAAGGACATGGTGCTCGACACCATGGCGGGCAGTGTCGTCTTCAGCGCCATCGACTTGACCGATGGATTCTATCAGATCTTGATGAGACCGAGCGACATCCCCCTGACAGCGGTCAGCACCCCCAGCGGAATGCTCTGGGAGTGGCTTGTGATGCCACAAGGCTTGAAGAATGCTCCCGCCACGTTCAATCGCATGGTCTCCCATGTGATGCGTCCGCTTCGAGACTTCGCACCGAGCTACTTCGACGACATCTTCGTGCACAGCCGCGCTGAGGGTGGTCTCAGCGCGATAGAAGTCCACTTGAGGCACTTAAAACAGGTCTTTCAAGTGATGCGCGAGAACAAGTTGTACGCGAACCTGAAGAAGTGTATCTTCTGCGCGCCGGAGATTCCGGTGCTGGGCTGCTTCGTGGGCAAGGACAGCGTTCGCGCCGACCCGGAGAAGGTGTCCTCTATCTGCGCATGGCCGACACCAAAGAACCCCACTGAGTTGCGTTAGTGGTTGGGGCTAGCAAATTATCTCCACAAGTACACGAAGAATTACGCCGGATTGATCCAGCCCCTCTCATCACTCCTGAAGAAAGATGCCACATGGGTCTGGTCACCCGCGCACCAAGCCGCCTTCGACTCAGTGAAGAAGAGCCTTGCTGAGGCGCCGATCCTAGCTCTTCCCGACGACTCGAAACCATATCACGTCGTTTGCGACGCGAGCGACTTTGCCATCGGCTGTGCGCTGATGCAGTTTGACGACGAAGGACGTGAATGGGTCGTCATCTATCAGTCTCGACAGATGAAGCCAGCGGAGCGCAACTATCCTGTCCACGACAAGGAGCTTCTCGCGATGCGCTACGCTCTGATCAAATTCATAGTGTACTTACTC